AAATATACAACCATGCATGGGTTTTATAACAGTTCCGGCAACACTGGAGAGGAATCCTTGTATAATGAATTCTTAAGATGTCCTTCATCAATTAGAGGTTATAGCCAAATTGTTTCAGGATCCTGAATTTGAATTTGAATTGGTTAATTTACTCAGAATAGTCCAATGTCTTTGTTGATGTTTCTCAAGGCTCAGCCACGCCCATATAGATAAATAAACAAACAAACAAGACAAACACAGTCAAACACACGGTCCATACACGTCTCTGTGCCCTCACACACCAAGCAAATGTCAGACTGAAGCGAAAGTGTGAAACACTTAACCTAACGCTAAATCAGTGGAAAGAAAAAATAAGACCTAAAGCGTGTAATCAAATTAATCCAACAAAACTTCCCATAACTGCTGTTCTAAACTCACGTTGCGATGTGATCTCTCCAATTAGAAATTAGGACAATCACTTTACTATCAATTCAACCAAAAAGTTTCAGGTTGTCCCTTACCTAAACTACTTGTCTTTCTTACCTTCTTTATTTTATTTTTTTTTTTTTAAGAACCTCACTTAGCACAAGAAATCCTAAGAATTAATTCACTACTTAAGGTTAATTCATAAATAACGAAACTGCAGTTACAGGTTTGTTTGTGCATAGTATTGGTAATCAGCAGTTTTTTCCTTATCTCCTCATCTAGAAGTGTTTCTGTGCTACTCCTCCATCTATAACACAAGTTAGTATCATCCTTAAAGCATCTGAAATTAAGCTGCATTGCTAAATCAATAACGTGATTTGTGCTAAGAAATACTCCCCTATCCTCTTCCTTTTTCCAGTGGCGCTGAATGACAGATTTTAGATCAATTTAACGTTTTATCACTATTACGTTTCATTTAATTAATTTTGCTTTTTCTCTCTTATTTTTGTCTATTTATTTATTTATGTTATTTACTTATTTATCATGCCATCCTGTGATGATAATCTTAAAGACTTTTTAGCCAATTGTCGTCAAAAAGGCCAATTAAAAATATTATGTTAAAGATTTCACAAGATAAAAATGTGAACATAATTTTTATCGAATGAGGGGTACAATTATTCAATATTTTTGTGACATTATTTTCTACGTTAGAACTTACAGCTGATAGAAAAATATAGAATCAGCTAGGTTTGGCTAGATCTGTTGGGAAACTCAACGGAGCTGAAACAACACTGTTGTCTCGGATGAGATGTTCCATGAATCATTTAGTCAGCTGGATGCCAAATTATTCATTTAATGTTTATTTTTATGCAATGAATGGAATGGGATGGAACGTTACTATAAACTATCCGGAAATTTGCGCATGTTTGCTCGAAGGAGAGAACTGTTGAAGCCTAAAGCGTTCTCCTAGACTTATAAATAGACACCGTTTCCTTAACTAATGAAGATAAGTGATGACGCTGATGTATTCCGTTTTGAAAAGAAAATAAGGCTTTACTGCATGTCCGCTGCAGCTGAGAATCCTAGGACAATAAAGATTATATTGACGTCCAATGGTGAGTTGGGCTGAAATCCAGGTTACTAATCCTATTATTTATTTATTTATTGATATTATTATTATCTTTTTTTAGGCTAACTTTCTCAGTTAACTATGTTCTACAGTAGTTTAGTAAATTTTCCACAGTTCTGACATTTCATCAATTCAACTGGTTGTTGCCAAAAAGCCTTGTTCATTACCTGACTGCAGCAAGCACTCTTTTACTGGGTGTAACCATAGGAAACAGTCTCTTTTGAGCCTCTCTTTGTAAGTCCAGGATGACCACCGTCATTGATTAAAGTTCACATGTTAGCACACATGCTCCCCCTTTTGTACTTTGTTTCATCAGCAGCAGGGCAAATAAGTTTCTGCCTCTTTGTCCATCTTGTAGTGCTCCCCGTCTTGATGTTATAAGTCACAGTTTTTGGTGAGGGCTTCCAGGTTCTCTTTGTATAGAAGTCAGACCCAAACATTCTTTGCAGCTGGTTGTGACAGGCCCACCCAGTAAAGTTCATGCCTCCACAATGCACAGCAAACGTTTTCCTTAAATATGTTGATTGAGTTGAAAGGACAGAACTTTCTCTTTTACAAATCAAAATCAACGAAGGTTTCTAATATTTAGTCAACTTTATTGACTCAAAGGTAAATCTAGACTATTTCCTATGCACAATTTTTTCTGAATCATCAAATTAGTTCTACACAGGTTTTAAACTTTAGGCACAATCTATCCCAAATGCAAGATCCCTCCTTTCATTTTTTATTTATCTATTTTATTTTGGGAAAATAACTACCAGTTTTTAACTCAAAACAGCCTAGTACAGTTTCTAGCCAGGTTACAGGAAATAATACTTAGTTTATCTGTTTTTTCATTATTCAGCGTCCCAAAATCCAGCCATTAACGTTAATGGTTCTTAAAGTTGAGGCAAGACAATTATTGGATTTTGTTTTATAGCAAGATTTAACAAATATTTTATTTCCTTACTGATTATTTGTTAATTTTATGGTTTTCATACAGATGATCCTGAGAGGTTCAGAGCTGCTTTTCGCAGCACCCTGTGCTATTTTTAGACTGCGGAACTCCTGTGTGTAAAAGTGGGTGGAGTCAGGTCCCCAGGCTGAAACTCCAGTCATTCTCACTAGATCTGTCCGAGAGGAAGGATCTCCTGAATACCCTAACCAGAAGCCTTAAGGTACGTCCAAAACACCGAAAAATATCCTTTCTAAAGTCACAAATTGCTTAAAACTGCATGTTACACAGAAAAACTGTGAGAGCGAGGGAGTCCAGCTGACTCCACGGCCCATAATCAGACAAAATACTTCCTTTATAACCACAACCATACAACTTTTGTATTTTAAAGGATTTTCTTGTCCTCACACTAACGATAAATTCTTTTTCTATTGTTTCCACAGTCTCTCGAACTAAATAACCGTCTAGTAAAAACATGGACCGCACCCTGTTTCTCAAGCAGCTGCTCCCTCTATTAAAAACTGAGTCATTCAGAAGATCCAGCGAAAGCAGCTCATGCAAGAAGACACGCATCCACTCATTCACATGGCACAGACGACATTCTTTGTTTGTCACAGTCCTTTTTTTTTTTTTTTTTAAAGTAAGTCAGTTCGTCACTTATTTATTCTCTCTCTATATATATATAATATTTTAAGCACAGAATTTATTTAACACTGCACTGGTTATTTTCAGAATTTAATGCTTACTATGCTTTTAAGCAGGCCTTATGTAACATTAGAGCAAATCCAATTGCAATTTTTTTTTGAGAGCGCTCTGAGGAATAGTTTATATATTTATTTTCTGCAGATCTGTTTTGATTTTACTGTTTAGCAGCTATATGACTATATTTCTAAAATAAAGCTGTCATTTACATCCTTACTTGCGTTTCTTGGTGGTTTTTTCCCTTTTTTCATCTCCAGGTCACTTAACCCCCAGATCGGGGTCACTCACATGCTGCCCCGCACACAAATGATTATCACGCTTGTACACTACATATGTATATATATGTATACACATATACATATGTTACTTTAAAAACGTTTTATTTATTAACTGGTGGTGTTCTGTTCAAAGACTGATCAGAACAGGGTTGCAGAATTTGAATTTTGCGTAGCTCCAAACATTAATTTTAGCACTGCAGTGTAATTTACATAGACGAGTTGCAACTTTTTAAAGCTCTTATTTATCTTATTTATTTATTTTCTGGTACCGCATCAGGCCTTCACACACACACCCAGCGCTGTACACACACACACACACACGGAGCTCCCAAAACTCTGCTCTGCATTCTGCACTCTCCTAGTGCTGCACTTTCAATCCAGAGCCGTAAGCAGCCTCTTGCTGCGCCTCACACACACAGGCTGAACTCAGCTTACACACACAGTGAAGCTTGTCTACAGCTGTGCCTTTTCTCTTGATTCTGCAGCCTTCACTTCCCAAATCTTGCTCCAGCTACCTCTACTGTTAACATCTACCCCTTTTCCTTCATCGCCTTTTCTGCTGACTTTCTCAATAAAACCTCATTTCTCGTGGCTTCAACTGGGCTGCTTGTCATATTTTAAACATTACTTATTTTATGCAAAAACAGTTACCTAAGAACATTTTTCTCATCTCATGCAAAGGTCCTTGACCTTTCGAATTTAGGGAGCTCTCTTTAGCCTCCCAGGGCCTTAACCCAAACCAGGTCCTCGACCTGTGCCTTTAAAATTTAGGGAGCTCTCTTTAGCCTCCCCTTCCCTTAACATAAAACCAGGTCCTTGACCTGTGGACTTTTAGGGTTCCCACACCTATGGATCCAGCCAAGCATTATATAACCTCGTTATATATTCTATCCGCTCGTCAGCAAATAGTGTGGTCAGCCACGACCTGGAAATGGAATTTAGGACCTTGTCCTGGGCCTCCAACCCTTCTTTAAATGGAATTTAGAGCTTATTAATGCTCTGGGCCTCCAACCCTTCTTTAAATGGAATTTAGAGCTTATTAATGCTCTGGGCCTCCAACCCCTATGGAATTTAGAGCTTATTAATGCTCTGGGCCTCCAACCCTTCTTTCTGTACTATTTCCTTATCTCATTTACTCATTAAACTATTAGAAAAATCCTCATTTCATTTCACCATTAAACCATTACAAAAAATCTCTTATTCTCCTGCACTTGTCTCCACTTTCTTCTCCAACTATTATTTTAGGACCTCAGCTACTATGATTCTGGACACAAAGGCTTTGGATAAATCCAATGAGCAGATTTTAGATAATAGGCTCTGCTCACCTTGTTTTCCACCGCGGTGTTCTGTGCCAAGATCGTTCGCTGGGTCAGTAGGTCGAATCGTCCTCCAAAAACTCCTTTTTCTTCAAAAAGAAAAAATCCTGTTCGTGACGCCAAATTTGTTGGTCTCTCTTCCGTTAGACCAAGCACGGGTACGGAGTAGATGGAGTTAAACACCTTTAAAGTTGTCAGAACGAGGAGACAAATGATCAGAAGTCCATTCACTGTTTCGCCGCTCATGAGGGGGAGAGTCTCTGCAGCAAGTCCCGCGACCTGCTCTTGCCAGATGCTTCGGACAGACTCTCGCCGTTCTGCTGAAAACGGCTGATTTTTATTGAAGATTACAGGAATGTTACATACGTAGTTTGCCATACACACACGTAATTCTGCCATCTGCACCTGCAGACGCACGTCAGCTAATAGCCTTGTTAATGAAAGACCAATTCATCCCAAGGACATGCAACCTTGAGATGATCAGGACACATCCTGCAACATCCTTTGCTAACAAAGACAGTTGTTCTTGTATTGAGGAACTGAAGGAAGGAACGCTTTCACTCCCTTATGCAGCTGTTCAGCTTGAGCAGAAAAGGCACAGAGAGGTCTTTGATATTATAACAAGATTCCATGAAAAGGCATATAATAATGTATTTATGATAATATATAAGGGGCAAAAGTGAGAGATACATATTTAATCATATAAAAGAGCTTATAATAATATATGAAAGAGCTTATATGAGAGATATATATTTTCACTGTGTTTTTCCCAAAATGGTTAGGTAGTAGAAAGGACCTTCTACACTGCTGAGTGAGGGTTTGCAGTTAAATTATAACGTGTTTATTTCATTTTACAAACAAATTTCACACTTTAAAAAACTCATTTATTAAAAGAGTCACTTAAAGAATCATCAAACTAAATTTACTACATTTTCTTCTTCAGTCCCATTTTACTTAATAATAACTCATTTAGCTGCTGAAATAAAACAATTCAAGACATACGGTGCAAGAAGTAGAAAAAACGTAGCTTAAGTAACATTTAAGAAGTGTTTCCCTCTACCTCGTGTACATGTACGTGTAAATGTGTGATGTGTGTGTACATAATGTAAATTCAGCTTGAATAATTTTCATTCTATACAAAATCTGCTGCTTTTAGAAGCGTTAATGTCAGTATGTCAGCAAATATTGGTTATCGGCCGCAACGGTGATATCAGTGTCGGCCCAAAAACTTCATATCTGTGCATCACTGTTGAAAATCACTCATTTATGTAAAATATGTAATTGTATACATACATACATTATGATCTTCTGATTTTCCAGATCCCATTAAATGTCAGAAAAAAGTGAAAAACAATCATTTCCTTCATTGTTGATGTTGTGAGACTAAAGCTGTAAAGAAACACGATTTAAAAAAGATTTTTTTCCCCGTGTCCTGTTCGGCTGTGAAGCAAACAGAATTGATGTCTGGATGCTGGTGACAAGATTCATAATTTTTTATCCATTATTTAGACTCAGTAGGTTCATGAACATCCACAGCAATAAAGGTGAACAAAATGTCTTTAATGGTCTGTGTGACTGTGTAATTTAATGAATTGAGCCCATCCTGATCCCAAGTCTTTCCTGTTTCTTTTGCTTTCTTGGCATTGCTTGGATTCTGCTCGTTGTTCAAGTCTCTGTTATGCCTGATCATCTTGTACCTTCCAATCACAGCGTCTGGACGAGATATGGACTTTATGCGTAACATGATTCGGTTGTAAAGGTCATCGTCCTCACCACCCCAGCCCCAGTAAGTGTTGGGGAAGCCATTGACTATTAAAAACTGCTCCTTTGATAATGCTGTGACCCCACCAAAATTATTAATGGCGGCTAATTTATAGTTAAACTTGTCTATAGCAACACTAAAGTGTCTTGGAAGGTCAAAACATCTGTAGAGGTTACGGTCATCTAAAGGCACCAGGTCTACATCAGAAAAGACAAAACAGTCATAATCATCTTCTTTCAGTGCTTCAGCATATCCGATATTCATTAGTTTAGCTCTGTTGAATTTGCCATCTCCATCCTGGTTGATGACATAAATACCGTAGTGCAGCTGCTGCCGTATTAAGTTTGGATGGACGTAGTAAAGCCAGTGGGTTAGGTGCTCATGGCGATGTCGGAATGGAATGATGATGGCCACCTAAAAAAGTGCAAATACATTTTATGATCATTTGAATAAAATTGACATTGTGAACAAGTACATTCATCTGACTTATTGGGGCAGAACTGTTGTAGTAACCTTCATTTCTATTTTACATTCCTCTTATAGAAATCACAAAATACCTCATTAAACTGTCAAAATGAAAGCATAGTGTAAAGCAGGGGTCTCAAACCTTTTTTTTGGCTCTGTGACCTACTTTTACACAATGAAAGTACAGTAGAGCAGCTGCCACATAATGTATTCACATTGATACTTTGCATGTGTGAATATGCTTACCATGTAAAAAATACTATGCTTACTATATGAACATGCCTTGTATTCACTATTAATTTCTCTGTATTTCAATATGTTAATATTATTTTTAAAAAGTACAAGGAAACTGCAGATATTCTGAAAATCAAATTACACAAAAAAATTTTGTTTAAATAATCAGATACTTTCAGATAGTGACTTATAAATCTACTTTGTGAATGATTTGACATTTTTTCTCACTTTACTCGTGAGAGGAAATAGCATGAGGTGATCAGTAAATAGTGTGAAGTAATCTGTATGCTCCAAAGGAACACAACTCTGCACAAAAATTGTGGTGTTGTTGGACACTCTGCGCCACTCTATAGTTTTCTGTTAAAACTCTGAACCAGAAATTAGCTGCAGGCAGTGAAACAGGAGTCCGAGAACCCAGAAGCATCCAGTGACTTCACCTCAAATCAGCGGTCAGAGTCTCGATGCCGGCCTGACTCAACAGATACCTCAATGGAGCTAGGACAAAAAAATTGAGGAAAAAGTGAAGGGAAAATACCGAACTGTGCCCTGCGGCAGTCCCAGTTAATGAGTAGTGCTCATTGAAAACTACCTTTACATTATTTATATGGGCTCTCAGCTTATTGGGGATCATTTTGAGCGGAGAGCACTGATTGTTGATGAGCTCCGTCAGCTGCGCAATTTTACAAAGTTAGCATAATTTACGCAATAACATTCTCAAAGTGGTACCACCCCAAAAATATAATTAACATGCAATCGTTCATGTCCACTCTGATGTCCTGATGCGCTCCACTGCTGCGAAGCTCATCACCCGTGCGCCGGTGACTTTACCTCACTGGTGCGGCCGCGCACTGCATATTCAATTCAATTCAATTCAAAAATACTTTATTAATCCCAGAGGGAAACTGATTGCTGTAGTAGCTCAGAATAATAATAATAATAATCAAGTCATCAAAGAGTTGTTGCATATTACAATGGCTGTTGGCAGGAAGGATCTCCAGTAGCGGTCAGTGTTTCAGCCAAACTGAAGAAGCCTCTGACTGAAGACACTCTTCTGTTGTCGGACAGTCTTGTGAAGAGAACGCTCAGGGTTGTCCATCATTTTATTGATTCTCTGGAGAATCCTTCTTTGCATCATCTCCTCCAGTGGTTCCGAAACTGCCGAAACTCTGGCTGAGTCCTTGAAAGGGCTTGGAGTTCCTCCATCATGTTGGCCAGTGATCTCACATTGCCCATTATGATCGATGGAAGAGATGGTTTGAATTTCCTTTTTCACTGTCTCCGTTTTGCTCCCGCTCTGCATCCACGCTTCTTGCGTTTTAGCTCCTTTGGGATTTGTGGCTTCAGTTGAGGTATTATTTCAGCCTTTCCAATGTTAATCAGCTGCTCCCGATTGTAAACAGCTTGTTGCCATGGTTACGCATCATAACAAATGCTCAAAAAGAGAAAAAATAGCAGTAAAAATCCTCCAAGCTTCACAGCAACAGAAACAGAAAAGTAAAATGTCCAAAACATTATCGTTTTTCTTGAGAAACTAGAAGAAAAAATGTCCAAAAAAAGGCAAAACTCACATATAGTCAACAGAGCTACTCCAACATGCAGCCACCCAGAGCAGCACAGTTCCGGTAAGATGCCGCTATTTTTGTGGTTGTATATCTTTTGATCTGCTTAGTTCAAAAGTAGCTCATGAGGTGAAAAAGTAGAAAGCCAGGCAGTAGATTTCTGGAGGATTGAGAGGAGATGCAGGAAGATAGAAAAATCAGAGGACAGAAAAATAGTGAAATAATAAACAAGAAAACAAAACAAAGTGCTTAAAAAGGATAGAATAAAAATCTGTCATTTTCTGTGTGTAAAATCATTATCTTCATTATAATTGTCATACGGGCAAAGTTGGGTTTTATTGTGTTTTTCCTTCCCACTGTGGTGTAGTTTTAGTGTGTATTCTTTTTATTTAGTTTTTATTGCGTGTGTGCTTTTATTCTGAAAAACCCAGTAAGCTGGGAGGATGTGTGCTTTTATTTGGACAAGCCTGGACAGATGACACCTGGGCAATTATCTGCACCGGTGGAAGATTAGCAGGTGCATGTGGAGACAACGGAAGAGGCAGGAAAAGGTGAAGGCTGACAGTCGCGACGAGAGCGCAGATTTGTCGGGTGGAAGGACATTGACTGTGAAGAGGCTCCGTGAAGACGGGGGCAGAGTATCCCTCTGCCCTGGCATGTGAGTGGCGGTCTGGAACAAAGTGTGACTTGCAGTGTGTGATTGTGCATTGACTGCCATCTAAACTCACTGAGAGGCGAGGCCTGCGGCCGAGGAGGACGACGGCATGGTGCGGCCGAGCGAGTGATTGACCTGCACGAGGCGAGCGATCGAAGAGAACGACAGCACGGCGGACAAGCGACCTGAAGGTGGCGGTGTGACAAGGCCAGAGGATCAAGGAGGACGGTTCTGCGGAAGTGGAGCCACCCCACAGCGCCCAGATAAGGCTGCAGACTCTCTTCGGCCCTACTTCCGGCAACTGTTTCATTTTGACTGGGTTTAAGCTTTTAGTGACAGTTTTAATTAGGTATTATTTTAATAAAACCCTGGTGCAGTGTCTAAACAGCTGATTTCTTTGGTTTTTAGCAGACGCTCTCAACTTTACTTGACATAAATCTTAGGTGGGATTTTATATTCTTTTGTTATATACTGTAGCTTACCTACCTGGTTAAAATGAGCCACAATTACCCCTGCTATGGTTAAGTTTAATTTATTTTTCATTTATTGATCTCATGTATTCATAATGTATTAATCCAAGTTAAAACGTCTCTGAAATACATAAACACACCAGAGACATGTTATGGGCCATTCCCATCTGTACCTGGTCGGCCCTGCCCGGATAGCTCCAGTCAGCCCCAGCCTGGCCCGGTTGATTCTACACATCCTTGCTTAGGTATGCAAGGAATGCAGTCAGATACATTTTCAGCTTCTAGGTAATCAGCATGATAATGAATGATGATGAATTGAGCATGCCTTAAGCCCATGTGGGCTGATTCTACCCACCAATCAGAGGCTTGCTCTAATGGAAGGTGTGAATTTGCTGTAAGCAGTGGGTGTGTTGGCCCTGATCGGCCTGAAGCAGACCCCCTCGAGAAGAGGGCTGAGAATGAGCCTTGGTTGGCCCAGGAAAATTCCAGGCCACCCAGATATGTAAACAACCTACGCTGCCCGGCTCGGGCCGACCAGGTACAGATGGGAATAGCCGATAATATTGGCAGGATACCCCAGAAAAGCACTGCTGTCCTGGTGGAGAATTTGTTCACAACACCAGCACACCAAAGGAAATGTATAAAAGGAAAACATCTCCGTCAGTACATGTGTGTGTGAGTGCAAACCCACTGGCTTCAGGCAGCTGTGGAGCCCTGGGGGTTGAAAGATCTGGCTAAGCTAGTGTTGCTCTAGGACGGTCTTGTCTGACAAGCCTTTGCAGTGTTGCGTGGACATCACCTGTGAAACGACAAGAACTGGGACCAGTATTCTAGGGGAATCACATCAATCAGCCAACTTGGAAAATTCCACTAACTGTAAACTGGAGATGATGGTCCAGTTTAAAGTATGTGACTAAGCCACTGTTCTCCAGATACCTTAACAGATGTGAAGAATTGAAAAATCCTTTACTGCCATTCTGTGGGGAAATGTTGGTGTAATAGCAGCAAAGTAGATTGAAAACAAGATAAAAAAAATAAAAACATGTACAGTGAATAAAAGGATTTTTACATTAACATTTCCACATTGACAATAAAATTATTTTCTATTCTATTCTTTATTATTATTATTTTTATTTAACCAGGATAAAAAAACATTGAGATTAAAAGCCTCTTTTACAAAGGTGTCCTTTCCAGGAGGCAGCAAAATTCCACATAGTTACAACATAAAAAACAATGATAAGACAATACATTCATTCAGAGCAGTTACTAATTACTGATGCAGTCTCTGAGGCTTTCAGTTTGCTTCTGAAGGCATGTAGTGAATCCAGTACCAGTTCAGTTACTTTCCAGTTTTTCTGCAGCTGGTTCCAGGGAAGAGGGGGCGGAATAAGCAAAAGCTTTCTTTTCTAACTCTGTTCGTACAAACGGGACAGAGAGCAGCAATTGATCATTGGACCTTAAAGAATGAGGATGAACACTTTTCCATGTGATTAATATGCAAATATAAGGAGGTAATATTCCAAGCATTGCTTTGTGAACAAAAACATACCAACGATTTTGTCTTCGTAGATTTTGTAATTTGCAGTGGTGTGTAGCGGCTCTTAGTAAAGAATCTCAAAGAGGCATGGTAAACCGAGTCCAACTTTTGTAGAACAGTAAGGGAAGCATTCAAATATATATATATATATATACATACGATATCACCGTAACACAGATTAAAAAAAAGTGGCAGTGACAAGTTACTTTTTTGCTTCAAAAGAAAAACACTTCTTGTTTCGGAAGTAAAAACTCAACTTAAGTTTTAGTTTCCTCACTAGTTTGTCTATGGGTGATTTGAAGGTAAGGGAGTTATCTATTAAGACTCCGAGGTATTTGTATTCACGGACCTCCTCTATGACCTTCCCTTCCAATGTGATTACTTCTGGTGCAATATTTGGCATTTTCCTATTTGTAAATAGCATTAACTTAGTCTTCTTGGCATTAAGGGCTAGTTTTAACTGTTGTAATGAGTGCTAAACTACATCAAAAGCTTTCTGCAGGGATTCAATAGCCTGAGAAAGTGAAGTTCCAAAACAATAAATAACCGTATCATCGGCATAGAAATGCATATTAGCATCAGAAACATTTTGGCCCAAGTCGTTGATGTACAAAATAAATAGGAGGGGTCCCAGAACTGAGCCCTGGGGCACCCCCCTCTGGACAACACCAAAATGAGAGCAAAGACCCTCACATTTAATACACTATGTCCTATTAGACAAGTAATTTGAGAACCATGCTAATGAGTTTTCTGACAGCCTAATGTTAAGTGATCTTTTTTTCAAAATGGCATGGTCAACGGTGTCAAAAGCTTTAGATAGGTCTATAAATAGTGAGGCACAAAACTGTTTCTTATCAAGTGCTACCATAATATCATAACTGTAGTAGAGCTGTACCCTTTTCTAAAACCCGATTGAAATTTCGAGAGGATTGAAACATTCTTTCAGCTAAACACTGACAAGCGACTCCAGAATCTTGGATAGCACGCATAAATTAGATATTGGTCTATAATTCATCAACACTGCTGGATCCCCCACTTTTAGTACTGGTAAAACATAGGCTGACTTCCACACTGATGGAATTTCTTTGGTGTTGATTGAGAGATTAAAAAGAATTGAAAGTGGCTCAATCAATGGGGCTCCTGTAGAATTAAATGAGGAACCTACTGAAAGGAAATGTTCATTAAAACAATTTAGAATTTCGGGTCTATTATAACAACTGCGAACATTCTGCTCAGTCACTGGCTTCGTGTCAGACTTAACAGCTGCAGGCGACAGGTGGAAAAAAGCTAGCGCAACCAGTGACTCCACCTCCTAGCCCAGGGGTTTTCAATTCCAGGCCTGGAGAGTGGTATACAGCATGTTTTAGTGGTTTCTCTGCTCCAACACACTTGAGCTGTGATTCAACCACTGAATCATCAGGCTCTGCAGAAGCCTGCTGATTGAAATCAGGAGTGTTGAAACTAAAATGTTCTGGATACCCACCCTGCGGGCCCAGAAAATGTCGGGCCTAGCCCATCAGTGACTCATGGTTGCTGAAGAGTGTTGGGCAAGTTACTTCAAAACTTGAATGCATTATTTACTACTTGCTACAGTCATTTTAAAGTGATTTGTTACATTACAATATTACTGATCTTAAAATATAAGGCATTACTTTACTATTGCATTTCTTTTAGTTACTCTCACTAAAATAATTGCAAATATGGATTTAGCATGGAGCTCATGGAGCTCCGTACACATCCAGTGGAAGTTGATGTGGTTAAAAACATTAAGATATAGTAAGAATAACATTTTTCTTTTCTAGCACTTTGTTTTGTTATCTGACTAATTTTCTAACTCCTCTCAGTCATCCAGAAACTGCTGCCTGGATTTCCTACCTTTTCACCTCTTGAGCTAATTTGGACCTAGGCAGATCCACTACAAAAATAGCAAAAGTGCACACTGCGTGAAGTTCTGGGGAGGCAGAACTTTTTAAAAACGGGCACTGCTGTTTATGCAACCTCAACACAAATTTTAATAAAGCTTTGCCTTAATGCATTTAAACTCCTTATTCATTTTGAAGCCAATAAATAAAACAGACCGCACACAAAAACAGATATTTAAAAGATTTAAAAACCGATAGTTTGAGGTTTTTGTTAAAGATGAATAAAGTTATTTGAAGACGGGTGGAATGAGAGCGTGTGAATACAGACAAATGTCTCTCGCTCATTTGGCAGCCCTGAAACACGGCTGGCTGGTTAACTCCCCCCACAGGTTTTAAAAATGCTTTTATAACGTTTTTCCTACACTAAACAATGATTTCTCTATAAAACTACTAAAATTTCCGACTGGGGTGGAAAGTAAAGGTCTGCTTTTTCAGCTCGTCCTCCAGATTTAGAGACCATGCCAAAAGAACAGGGGAAGAGGAGAGGTCTGTAGAGCAAAAATAATGAGGAAATAAGACCCAGGAAATGCAATTCCACTGCGTTTAGACCCCAAAAAAAGAGTTTAATATTATGATACGTCTCCTTTAAAGTTTCAATTCCAGCACAAGAAGCCCTGCTAAAATAAATGTACCTTTATTTTTTTTTACCAAAAGGCAATTCCCCATCAGTCTTTGTAATTTCTTTATAAATTAAATGCATCAAACATTTACTGTCACATCATGGTAAAATGGTAATATTAAGCACCTTTCCACAACACACCACTCATTCATCGATTTACCTACCTTCTGTTTTGAGATACAATCCGGTGGTTTGTATCGTCCTCCCATCTGAAGGAAAGAACCAACCTTCTTCCTGACGTCGTCCATAAATCGATTCGTTTCAAACTCTACCTGAATTGGACCCAAAAGGTTTGGAGGGGTTTCAGGACAAGGCTTCAGAGAATCTTCCACAGCTGAGTCATTTACTTGGACCTCTGATGTTTCATTCCCCTGACCACTTCTTGTAAACCTCGAAAAAAATCCAATTTTTATAATTTCTACATTTTGTGCTTTAATAAAATATGGATGAGCCCAGCCTTTGTTGAAAATTATAAAAAGAGCAAAAAATGCAACAAAGATGAAAGAATAAAGTAACAAGAGGGTAAAGAGTTTTTTCCCCATCCTTCATCCGTCAGTTCAGTGCGTGTTGAACTCAGTAGTTCAGGTGAAGCTTTCTAAGTATGAACTTCTCTTTTATCCTTGACTCGGTCAAGCTTTATCAAAGACAAAGCAAACAAGTTCCTTCATTGTAGTCAGACCGAGTCAAAATAAGTAGTTCAGGATAGTTTCTGTGTTCTTTTGATAACAACATTCAAATCAGCAAGGGCACAATGAACAAGTCAGTCATTAACAATCCTGATAAACTGGTTTTATGACTTTACAGTTAACACCGTTGTTGGTAGAGGGTAGAGTTGGCATTTCACTGATAGAAACACACAGGAGCTGATGAATTAGGTTTCTCTTGGCTTCACAAAAACCTCCCACACTTAATATTGCACTTCACTGCACATAACCTTCACTGCTGCAAATCACTCTTCCCCTCAGATCGCATGTATACACACACACACACACACACACAGATCCGGGGCTACAACACCTAGACTCTTCAAGCCTGAAGCAGTTCTGATTGATCGCCCATGAAATGAGTAAATATAGTGTAATGACCTGGCTGGGGTTGTAAGCCAGGTGCATTCTGGGTATATGTGTTTCCTATCCCTCTGCTAGTTTCTATGTGTTGATTTGAGTGTTATGTTAATGTAAGCCACAGGGAAGGTGATGTGTGTTCTGTGGAGCGGGTTGAATTAGCATGGTTAACTGACACCGTGATTCTGTGTGGTAGGAGCGTGATAGAAGTTCTGTGTCTGTAGTGTTACAAAGGGTGGAAGAAGAAGCCTAATAAAGGTCTGGTGTGAACCACTACTGCCTCCTGCTGGTTGAGTTGGGGACTGCTGCTGAGACCTCGGGGTCACTACAATTGGTGTCAGAAGTGGGATCGCTGAGTGTCTAGCAGACACTATGGAGCCGACCATAGACAAAATAGAGCATGCAATCTGGGACAACTACTCGATTCTCGGAAACATGGCTGCCGAGATCCAGCAAAGAAGACCGGAGCTGGGGCGGCCAGTGGGCCACAGTGCGCCCCGGAACAGACACCCCCTGCGGCGGGAAGAGATTCCTGGGGTTGCACCACAGCTCCCTGGCAGGACGGTTGCTAAACTGCAGCATTACACCGGGGCGACAAAGCTACAGCCGTACCTGGCCCAAGTCACGCTGGCTGCCACTCACAATGGGTGGGGTCAAGAAGAGACTGCCACCCACCTGGCGCTCGCACTGGAGGGCCCAGCACTTCAGGTTCTGCTGGACCTGCCCCTAGAGGAGCAGCGCGACCTCCGGGCTCTGACTACGGTGCTCGGCAGACGGTTTGGACAGAGACCACCAGCTGAACAGAGCAGGGAAGAGTTGGCTAGCCGACGTGAGAGAGAGAGCCTGGGGTCCTTTGCTACGGACGTCCGCCTCTATGCCCGACGGGGCTATCCAACCTTCTCAGGAGCGGCTCAGGAAGAGCTGGGTCTCCACACCTTTCTGAGGGGTCTCACACCGGAGAGGCTGCGACAGCATGTCCGGCTGTCATCCCCCCGAGACCTGGAGGAGGCGTTGAGGGAGGCGGAGCGGGCAGAGGAGGTGCTGTGGGGCGAACCAGTAACCCGTCGATCAGTCAGGGGGGTCGAGCGAGAGATGAGCACAGACCAGTCTGATGAAGAGGAGGAGGCCAGACGAGCCCAACCAGAAGCAGTCCCTCGTCGGAGGCGCCGGACAGACTGTTGTTATCGGTGCGGGGAGCCCGGGCACCTTGCCCGGAACTGTCCTGCACCTAGTCCTCGGGCCCGAGTGACATCACCGACGGGAAACGGCCACGGGGTGGGACAGTGAGGGGACCCCCACCCCAATCATTAAAACCTCTCCGTGACACTCATCCTGTGGTGGGCCGCTGTGGGTCCACCCGTGGACTATACCTGCACCGTATCATTGATGGACGGTCTTGCCGGGCCCTGGTGGACACGGGGTCTACCATCTGCTTGCTGCGGAGGGGGGTGCTTCCGGAGACGGGCGGGTCATTGCCGACGGATTGGACCCCTACTCACACAGCGTTGTACACTGTCACAGGAGAAAAGACTGTGATGCCGGGGAAAAAGACTCTGCAGGTGGTGGTGGGCACAAACAGAGTGAACCATGAGTTCTGGCTTGCCGATATAACAGATGAGTGCACTGTTGGACTGGACTTGCTAACCCACTGGGGGGCACAGGTCGATGTGCCGGGAGTTGCCATCCACCTTGGTGCTGAGACTGTGCAGCTCCAAGTGGGCCGCGGTAATCAGGGACAGGCCCCCACCCCGCCGGCACCCCCAAAGCTCTCGCGCCCCACAGCTTCAGGCCACAGCCAGCGGTCGAGGGCGGAAAAGGGGCGGAAGAGGACCCAGGGGGTGAACGTGAGCAGGGCCAACATCCCGCAGCCAGAGTCGCCGCCTAGCTCGGCGGTCTCCCCGTCGCCTGAGACTGTCGCGGCAGTAGAGGAGCTTGGGCGGCGGAGTGGGGTGCACCTCAGTGTGACGCAGCAGCGGCAGCTGCAGAGCCTCCTGGCAGAGTTTGTGGATACTTTCGCCGCCAGGGAAGAAGACTGTACAAGGACGGACCTGGTGCAGCACACCATCGACACTGGAGCAGCTGCCCCAATCCGGCTGCGGCCCCACTGCCTGCCCCTCGCCAAACGCAAAGCTGCCGAGGAACTGATAAAAGAGATGGCAGATAATGGCGTCATTGAACCCTCGGATAGTCCATGGGCCGCACCTGTAGTTATGGTGCGGAAGAAAACAGGGGGTTGGCGCCCTTGTGTGGACTACAGGCGCCTGAACGCGGTAACCCACAAGGACTCTTACCCGCTACCTCGCATTGATGACGCACTGTATTACATCGTTGGGTCCAGTTGGTTCAGTTTGCTAGACCTCCGCAGTGGGTACTGGCAGGTGGAGCTTGCTGATGAGGCACGACCCAAGACTGCCTTCACCATTGGGGAAGGACTGTGGCAGTTTAGGGTGATGCCTTTTGGACTATGCAACGCACCAGCCACGTTCGAGAGGTTAATGGAAAGGGTCCTCAAAGACATTCCCCGCGGCTGCTGCGTGGTCTACTTGGATGATTTGCTGACTCATGCCAAGGACTTTGAACAGGCTGTTGCTACCCTGCGAGAGGTCCTGACTGCTATCCGCGGGGCCGGACTAAAGCTGAACCCGGCTAAGTGCAACCTCCCTCGTGAGTGCCCCGGTCTTGGCGTATCCTGACCCCAGCCAGCCTTTCCTGTTGGACACCGATGCCAGCAACGTGGGGGTCGGAGCTGTGCTCTCCCAAGGGGGAGAGGCGGAGGAGCGAGTAGTGGCATACTACAGCTGCAGTCTCAGCCGGGCCGAGAGGAATTATTGTGTTATCCGGCGTGAGCTGTTGGCTGTGGTCCTGGCGGTTTGTCACTTCCGACCTTACCTCTTGGGCACTAAGTTCCTGCTCAGGACCGACCACGCCAGCCTAACCTGGATGCTGAACTTTCGCCAGCCAGAGGGTCAGGTGGCCCGGTGGCTGGAAATACTACAAGAGTTCAATTTTGAGGCCCAGCACCGACCAGGGCGGCAACACGCCAACGCCGACGCCCTGTCCAGGCGCCCCTGTTCTGCGGAGGAGTGTCGGTACTGCAGACGCCTGGAGGAGTTGGACCGGGGTCCCACATCAGCAGCAGCAGAACCCGAGGGCAAGGGTGAAGGGCGGGAACCTTTCACCGCGGCAGAGCTGCAGCAGCACCAGGTGAGCGATCCAGTGCTGGGAATGGTGAGGCACTGGATGGAGGCTGGGACACGGCCAGACTGGTCCGCAGTGTCTTCCCAGGGGCCTGAGACTAAGTCGCTGTACTCCCAGTGGAATAACCTGGAGCTCCATGGCAGTGTACTTTACCGGCGGTGGCGAGCGCCAGATGGGGGAGGCGACAGACTCCAGCTCTTGGTTCCCCGGTCCTTGCGGCCTGAGGTCCTCCGCTGGGTTCACGGGGCTGCAGGTACTGGCCATTTTGGGAATGGGAAGACGGTGCGGCGGTTGAGACAGCGGTTCTATTGGCCGGGCTGTCATCAGGACGTGGAGATCCATGTTCACTGCTGTGACGACTGCACAGCACAGAAAGGTCCCAGCCAGCACTCCCATGCCCCATTGCAGCAATACCTAGTTGGGGCGCCAATGGAGCGGATTGGAGTGGACATCCTGGGTCCGTTCCCTGTTACTGATGTTGGCAACCGGTACGTCCTGGTCGCGATGGATTATTTCTCGAAGTGGCCAGAGGCGTATGCGGTGCCAGATCAGAGTGCAGTGACGACTGTGCACACTCTGGTGGATGAGATGTTCACGCGGTTTGGTGTACCAGAGGAGCTCCACAGCGACCAAGGGAGGAATTTTGAGAGCCAAGTGCTGGGAGAAGTGTGTCGGAGGCTGGGGGTAAAAAAAACGAGGACCACCCACCTTCATCCTCAAAGCGATGGTCTGATTTAGCGGTTCAACCGCACGTTGGCCACCCAGCTGGCCATCCTGACCAGCCAGCATCAGAGGGACTGGGACCAACACCTGCCCCTTGTTTTGTGGGCGTATCGAACTGCAGTGCAGGAGTCAAGTCAGTGTACCCCTGCAGCCTTAATGTTCGGAAGGGAGATCCGAACTCCGGTGGATTTGGTGTTCGGGGCGCCCCCTGAGCCGGAAATTGCTGGGGGACCAGAGATGGATTACTTCCGGCGGCTCAAGGAGCGGTTGCACACAGTGCATCAGCTGGCGAGACAGACATTGGAGGGGGCCGGGGCCCGCCAGAAACGAGCGTACGATACCCGTGCGCACGGTCCTATGCTGGGGGCCGGAGATCGGGTCTGGGTGTACTGCCCCCGGCGGAAGCGGGGGCTGGCCCCCAAGCTCATGAGTCACTGGCAAGGCCCGGCCGAGATCCTGGAACAGCTATCAGAGGTGGTTTTCCGAGTCTGGATGCCGGGGCGGGGAAGGCGGGTGGTGCTGCATAAGGATCGGCTGGCGCCATACCATCCACTTGCCCCGAACCCGCAGACTGGTGGGCAGCCTGGGGATTTCTTGCTTCCTACGCCTGGCTCAGCTGGGGGCGCCATGGAACCCCAGTCAAGGCCAAAGCATACTCGACGCCGGCCCGGATATTTACAGGACTACAGAGTGGACGGTTAAGGTTGTGGGGACACTAAACCTCTTGGGGGGGGGGGGGGGGGGGGGGTGCAGTG